TTGCGATCTTACCCTTTTTTCTTTCATTATTATTATTTTATTTTTTGTTTTTTCCATCCTTTGCCTAGTTCTGCCGAGAAGCCGGAGAAAGTAGAGGAGGGTATACGCTATATTTGGACCACGCCGCCTGGGCAAAAGAAACACAAACTAGTCATGACCAATGAATTAAAGAGGAACTTTGAGTTTAGGGTATTAGCAAGTCTGAAATGGATGAACTTTAGGCGATTCCTGCTCAGTTTTGTAACTGTCTTTGGGGTGCAGCGGCTTCACCTGGCTGGAGTCGCACGTGACGGTTCACAGCGTCCCGTTAGCGCCAGCCTTGGGGTTAGCAGGATTCTTTAGTTTTTCTGGGTATTTATTGGCATTCTTGCTACTAATTTTAAATGTTTGCAAGGAGCTTTAAGTTCTGGAAATAATTCTCTTGTTCCAACATAAATAAGGGGAGACTTTCATTTGCTCTGTTTGCTCTGCATTTGTGACTTACCATTCAAGAAAACAACTACACTGATACTAAGTATAGGCAAAATATTTTCCGTGTAACGCTGCCTCTGCTTTAAATTCCAGTAAACGCATAACGGAACATCTCAAACCAATGTATTCTTCAATTATCTCAATTTCCCTGACGAAATGGGGAATTTTTCCAGCTGGTTACTTGACCTGAGGATTTCAGATGTCCTTTCTGCTTCTGTGTAGGAATATCCCATCCAGCTCTTCCACAAAACGTTTTTAGAGCCTCAAACCAGCTTTGATCATACCCAATAAGGTGTTTTTGTCAGCTTTACATTTGATTTTTGTGTGCTTCATGGACACTTTCTTGTTCCTCCTACTCTTCACTGAGGCTTCCGTGTGCCAGATGTGGAGCATTTTAAGTGCGAGGAGCTGCTTGCGCGTTGCCACTGACTCTGTGAGCTTCCAGAGCGCGTGTGAAGGGTTCCCAGCTCTAAGCCCGGGAAGGTAGAGGATGAAGATGAGCATAATACCAGGCTCTAAAAGATGAATATCTTGTGGGACCTTTGGAGGCCGAATTCTTGGTTTTTTTCGGTTTAATCTCATGACTTCTGAAATAATTTTACGGTATCTGGAGGACTTGGGTGTGTGGGGTTTGGCTGGCGTTGGCATCCCAGAGCAGAGCATCAGTGTTGGAAAACTTTGCCGCTTTATTTCTCCATCGCGCCTGAAGAACGCAGCAGAAGCTCTGGTGGGCAGTGAACTGGGCGCAGTCCCAGCGAGCATTTTATTCCCTAAAAATTCTCTTTATTTGCTGGATTGCCGCCTGACGTGACTGGGATCTGTTCGGGGTCTGGTTTTGAGTCGGGCAGATGCGGCGAACCTGGCAATTTAGGTCAGTCTTGGAGAAGTACGGCCCCGCGCGGGCGGTTCGGATGTTCCTGTGGAAGTTACGCTCCTGGAGCTTTGGGGCAGTGGTGAGTTCGGCTGCAGGGAGGACTCTCCGGTTTGTTTTCTCTCAGTATAAGCTGCGAGGAAGCTTGGCGCGTTTTCTTCACGATCCGTTGCAGGAGCCAGGGAGCAGGGGAGATGCGGTGATGATGCGCTGACCTTTCAGTGCTGTGTCAGGCCTCTGGCTGGAGCAGCAGCGAGCAGGGCGCAGGCGTGCGCCTGCCGTGACTCTAAAGGGGCTTTCCTTGCTCTTGCTGTGTGTGTGGCTCCGAAATTCGTTTTTCTTGCATGGCAGTCCCTTGTTCCCTGGTCCCACACATCCCGGTGGTCGCGTTCAAACCTCTTTGGAGACCTTATTGCCCTCTACAACTACCTAAAAGGAGGCTGTAGTGAGGCTGGTGCTGGTCTCTTCTCTCTAATTCCTAATGACAGGACAAGGGGAAATGGCCTCAAGTTGCGTCAGGGTAAGTTTAGATTGGATATTCGGGGGAAGTTCTTTCCTGAACGAGTGGTGAGGCACTGGAACAGGCTGCCCAGGGAGGTGGTGGAGTCACCAACCCTGGAGGTGTTTAAAAAAACAGTAGATCTAGCACTTGAGGCTGTGGTGTAGTGGTTGGGTGTGCTGGGATGAAGGTTGGACTAGATGATCTTCAGAGGTCCCGTCCAACCCCTGACATTCTGTGATTCTGTGACAGCTCCGTCACCGCTGGGTGAATGATAACTGCAGAGGTGAACATCTGGCACCTGGCAGCAGCGGAGAACCTGTTGAAGTGACAGGTGGCTGGTTTGAAACATTCCAACCGTTGGGGTTTTGCTTACATTTTTGTCTTGGTCTTAATCAGCTTCCAGTAGCTATTCTTAAACGCAACAAGTCTCACGGAGCTGGAACACGTTAGCTGGAAGATGAGGCTGTGCAGGTGGCCCGGCTGCTCAGAGGGGTCTCTCTCGTTTTACCTCTTCAGAGAGCACAAAGGTGAGGTTTCATCAGCATCCTCCACCTGCCAAAGATTTGCTCGACCCTGTACGTTGGTGTGCTGGGGAGAATGCAGGTTTGCACGCGCTGCAGTACCACAGTCCTCCTAGGGCCCGGGAGATAATTTGTTTTAATTAGAAGGCAAGAAGGGAAGGAGCCGTGTGCCCACTGAAGGCGGATGGGACGGCGTTTCTAGGAAGTTTGTCCGTGGAGTTTGTCTGTACGAGAACATTCAGGCAAGTGAAGCCAAATGAACTGAAAGAAAGAAATTGAAATACAGTTTTAATTTGGTTTAGCTTAACTCATCTGCTCTATTCTGAGTGAAGGTGTCTGCGCAGGAATTAAATTTCGTCTAACAGAAGTACTTACATTCATATCCTTGATTAGGTTAGAATGTGCGTGTGTTTTCTTCTTCATGAGCATTCGCAAACAACCCGTAGCCAAGGGCGGCGGCAGAGGGACGTGATGCCCGTGGGGGTACGGGGCTCGTGTTGTGGAGAAGCCAAGACCCTTCGCCTTCTTTCCCCCAAAGGGGAGCCTGGTCGGTGCAGTGACCCTCCAACATCCAGCTGCTCCCGGCAAACCCTTCGGTGGAGCGAGGCGGGGAGGGATAACGCCGCCGGTTCTGCAAACCTCACAGGCAGCTCGGGAGCCTGGAACTATGGGCTGCTGGGGTTCAAGAAAAATCTCAAATTTGCCACTTAACTCACGTGAACACTGGTTTTTTGAGTTTGAGATTGTGCATTTAGCTACAAACCGTTTTATATGGAGATTAGGGAATTTATAAGTTCGGTAATTCAAGCTTGTCCTGGTTTGTGTAACAGTACGTTTGTGTTGTAACTGCCTTGTTGCTCTACTTACATGCTTCGTATTGCCTTTTTATCCCACTCAAGTAATTTTCCAGAATAAATTGCGGGACCTCACGAATCTGTAACTTGCTTTACAAGATCCACATTGAGATTATTTTTTTTAATTATTATTTCTTAAAAAAAAAAAAAAATCCAGATTTTCTTAATGCTTCGAGTGCTTGTTTGCTCAAGTCTGTTCCTCTGAATTTCTGGACACGCCGCACAGTACATGCTGACACCGTGAACAAAAAGCTGGCCAGGCCGCGTATGAACAGCGCGCTGTGGTATGCAGTGTCGTGGCGCTCAAGGAATCTCTGTACGAAGAGCAAGATGTTGTTTATTGTGTCTTTATAAAGGTTGTCTCGGGTCTAATAAAACTTGCCGTACAACACGGAGCGAGTGCTGTCAGCTTTCAGCATACTCTTGCTTTACTCACAGCCATAAATATCTCGCAACAGTCTCGGGGTGATGCGGATCTGGTAAATCGTATTGGATGGGCTCGGAAGACTCGGTCTTGGTATGAGCTTGTTCGTCCGTGCTGGGAGGATAATTTCATGCTAGTGATGTTTTCTTTTTTTTTGTTAATGTCAGCGTTTTGCAGCTCAGGGTTCTTCACTCCTGGGCTGTAAGCGCTTGGAAAGGTTTTACAGGAGATGATAAATTTAATGGGCTCTCAAAGCGTTAACTCTTGTGCTGCTCCGTGGTTCTGTCAACATGATTCTTTATATTGTGCGGAGACACGACAACCGTTACGCCGAGAGGGACAGTGCAGAGGCACCCTTTGGACTCTGTCTCCTAGACTCTTCTTGGCGGTTTTCCCATATCTCTGATAACATGTTCGCTCTTAAATGACGTTTCCACCCATTTGTAATTTCTTCTGCCCCTTTGGAAGGCTTCACCAGGGGATCCTCACCCCGAGGAGCGCAGCTCCCATGGCGCGGGAGGGTGTCCTTAGGTGTGTCTTGGAACGCTCTCTGTGACTCGGGAAAGAAAAGCAACACAGCCACAATTCTCCAGAGATTTAAAGCTTTGAGTGGCTTGGATTGCGTGAATCTGTGCTTCTGTGACTTTCCCTATAGCTGAAACCTCAGGTAAGAGGTTGAATCACAGCAAAAGTGAAAAGCACGATCGCGGGGCATAACAAAAAAAAGCTGAAATGTGATGGTGTTGGTGTCCTGAGCAGATTGCAGGGGTGCAGGGCCAGCAGGGCTGCAACTTCTTCAAACGGGAGCAAATCCGTGCGGAGGAAGAGGCCGATTGTTGAAATGGGCAACGTAACAACAGGGTTTTGCAACGCGGTTGCAGTTTGCTTTTTCCGATGAATTGCCAGCTTTCTGTTGGAAAAAATTTGCCAAGCGTGTTCTCAGACCTAGGACTGTCATAAGTTTTCCCCTCAAGTATCTTCTGTTTAACTCAAAACTGACATAAGCGCAGAAGAGACGGAGCTAAAAACTATTCTGAACCCGAAATGTGGCGTCGGGGAGGACTAAGCGTGACCCGTCGGGTGTCGTCTCGGAGCTGATCTTTTTCTAAAGTTTGGGTTAATGGCTCCCGAGAAGGGAGTTGTTTAACCAGGGGTGATATTAGGGTTTCATCCCTTTCCTGGGTAGAATCACTTTGAATTTTCTCACTTTGAGTTCTACGTATTTCCCTGAACCTCCTCCCTTGGAAAAAAAAGCCCAGGTGAAAAATCAAGCTGAGTGTTTTCTGGCAGGGAATGGTGGCGCTTTCAATTTCTCTAAGGTAATCTTTTTCTTTTTTTTCCCCACTTGTTTTTGTAGGATGCTGTGACATCAAAGCCGGTAATCCAGTTTCAAGGAAGCCAAGGGGTAAGTTTGCATGTGGGCTGCGTTGGAAAGTTCTTTACTGGCTTTGTCCAATTAATCTGAGTGAGGTGTTTGTTCTGCCTGTCTGTCTATTCCAGTTCAAAAAACTGATTTCTCAGAGCTCTGAAGTTCAGCTGTGGCCCAGGAAAGAGTCTTTGCTTGTTACCTCGTGGATTATTTCCCTATAAACACTTTTTGTCTCTTTATTTTCTAACCTTCCTCACACCACAGCGAGGTGCTTTGCTCACCTTCCTCAATCCAGAGCGTTGCAGGTGGGGAAATGCAGGTTTTTAAGACCGAGCCGTGGGGTGGGAGCAGGGCAGTTGGCTGGTGGCAGTGGGGAGCTGGGGGCGGCGATCGATCCCTGGAAACTCCCCGTGTCCCGAAGGAACGCTGGGCTGAGCCCGGTAGACTCGGTGCACAACTCCCCAGGTACCAGGTATTGCCAGCAGGAGCACTTGGAGGCTGCTGCAGAGGTCCTGAAGCTTTAGTTGATGTCCCCCTCTGAACAACGGGGCAGTTTCTGTGAGTACCAAGAGTGGTTTGGGTTTTTTTTTTTTATATATGTTTAAGAGTTTTATTTCTTTAATTTCTGTTCCGATGACTGAACTCCTCCAAGATATTTATAGACGCTTGAAACCGGCTGTCACGCCAGTTACTGACAACGCTGAGATGGAATTGGCAGTGGTTCTGGTAAAGCAAAGCAGCTCTTGCATGAACTTGAAAAATGTCATTTGACATACCTTTTAGATACAACAAGTTGTGTGTTTTACTTTGGTGCTCTGCGTAAGAAAGGGGAATTTCTGATTTATTTTTTTTTTCCCTGCCCAAGAATCTGAACTCCTATGTAAGTAACTTTTTAATTCTATTGTGGTGGCACAGTAAAACTTTCAAAAAGGCTTGAATTCTAAGTAGGCAGTGAGGTCCAGCAGCTTTCTCCTTGCCCATAGGTTATCTGGCGGTATTAGCCTCACTAGTGGTACTTAGTACTCCCACAAAGCGTAGCAGGAAAGATGTGATTGTTATTCTAAGTTAAGAAGAAAAATACAACCCTTTTTGTCCTGGGAAATAAAGAAAGGAGCAATTTCCAGGTTTTTTGTACTTTGTTTATGATCAAACCTTCCCAGAAAGCTCGGCATGAAAGCTCCGATAAAAATCTGCAGCTGAAGTTTGGCAAAATCCGAAGGAAAACTCTGAAGGGTGGGTGAGCTGTTGCAAATGACTTTGCGTGTAATAAAGGAGAAAAGGCTGCAGATGCTTTCTTGGGAGAGGGCCTTGTGAGGATCCACGGCGAACTCGTCCTGCAAAGCTGCTTAAGTTGTGGAAATGCCTCTTATTTAACCTTAGTCCTCGAAGGAAATGGGGCAAAATGAATCAAAGCCGCTTGAAACACTCCCCTGGCCTCAGCTGCTGCGCTCTCCTCGGCGCGGATCTGGGCATTTTCAGGTTAACCAAAAGAAAATTATTTTAAAAGGATGTAGTTCCTTGTAATAAGTTTTAAAAGACCTTATTTTAAAATTTGACAGTTTCTTACCTAAAATTGAAAATATGATAAAGTTACGTGATTCCCTATAAAAATTAAAAATAAATATTTCATGCCCTTAATTGTATTTGAGCTCTCAAGTCCCGGAGAAGAGCTTTTTGATGAAAGAGCTGCCAGTCACCTGTAATTCCCGGCCGGGTCGGACGCAAAAAGGAGCGAAGCGCCACGATTGTGTCCAACAGTGCCACGGGTAGACTGAAGCCCGGCGCCGGGCATGGGGCACAGGGTGCTGGCAGCTCGGCGCTGGCCTCTGCTCGCCTCCTCCTCGGCTCGTTCATTAATTGCCCGGCGAGTAAAGGCCGAAGGTAGGGCTTTGAAGAAAGCGACATCCGGTTCAATTCGGGCAGACAGAAAGAGCTCTTTGTCCTTTTATTATGATTTTCACTGGGTATGACGAGAAGCTGGCGGCTGCGTAACGACCTGGTTGGAAGCGCAGCGCTCGGACGCGTCACAGTTGTGCCCTGCTCTGAGGGACCAGCGGGGTCTGAAACGCTCCCTGGTGAGGCCCTGGCAGTGGGACTGCGAAGATGATTTTGGAAAGCTGAATCCTCAAATTGGGCTCGTTGACGTTAAAGCGTATTTATTTCGCTATTTATTTTTGGAATACTCTTTCTTCCACTCTACCTTCGTTCCCCCGTTTGTCGCCTGCCTGTTTCGCTTCCTCCTAAGTGTTGCTATGGAGAAGATTTCCCGTTAACTTCTGAGGGCGGTGGGTTTGGTTCGCAGCACAAGTGTCGGAGTGGGATTTAAAGCAGTGTCCGGCGACGGGAGATTTTAATAATGTGACTTTTCTGTGTCAATATCCCTCTTGCAAAAAGGAAAAACTCAAAAGTTCTTGATCACTGGGAGAGGCAGAACATAAGAGTTTGAAACAAGCTGCTGCTTCCTTAATTTTCTAGAAGCCTTTAAATGACTGTGTCCATGTCTGTCCTTTATTATTGTTGTGTTTTTTACCTATTCCCAGTGTGAGTCTAATGACTGCTGTCAAGGATACTCTCAGCTCCTAACACACAGAAAACAACTTTCATGTTGAATACTTTAATTAACTAGAGAAGGGAATTGGGCAGGAGCAAAACCCCGGCTCGGCGAGGCAGCAGCTCTGTCACCCGGGTGCCCAAAGGAGGAGTCGGTGGTTCCAGCCTAAAATAAAGCAGCCGGGACTGAAACCTCCTGCGTGGATCCTGGTCTGGATCGAATCCCACAAGAGTTTTGATAAATTGGGCACTATAAATGATCGCTGCCTTGGGATGCATTTCCTTGCAGCGATTCTGGTCTTGTTAATGGCTTTTTCAGTGCCGTAATCTGTGTAATAATCTTAATTTTGGTAGTAGCAGCCAGGTTGTAGCGAGGTTACTCTGCTTTGAGATGCTAAAGTGGGACTGTCGGCGTATTCCTTAAAAGCAGCGCTTGGCTGTTTTTCATCACAAACTGGTTTTTCTAGGATAGTTGAAGTTCACTTCGAATCTTGAGCATTTTTCTTATTTCAGTGTCTGTGTAAATAGAATTTAAGAGCTTGGGTACCAAAGCATTAGGAACGGTGGCTGCAGAACTGTAGAAAAAGACACTGAAGATGCTTCTATTCTGGTAAAAGCATCTGCAGAATTAGAGCTTTGGGTCCAATTTGCAGGTGTTCGCTGCGAGGAGGAGTAAGGAAAGAACTGAACTGGGGAGGAAAAAAAAAAACCTTCCAGGTGCCAAACACACGTGTGTTCACGCAGCTTGAATACGACTGTTAGGAACAAGACGTCTTAACTTTTACGTGATTGGAAAATATGACGTTTTTTCCCCCAGTTTCTTGGGATGAGCTTTGTGCTGGTATTAATAGAGGAAGGTGAAATTGCTGTTCAGAGTGAGCTGTACACAGATGAATATTACTTGAAAGGAAAAAAAAACCCAAAACCCCTCAACCAGAAGTCACATCTGTACTGAGCTATTTTTGAGTTGTCTGTGGTTACTGGTGCAATACTCGACACCCAAATTAGGGCTCCCTCAAAGCAGTTACCGTGCTGATTTGGTGGCTTGAGAAACCTTCTGTTTCAGCTAAAAATAATTCCTAGATAACGGCCAGTTTGCACGCGCGACACTTTTCAGTACTGAATCGAGCGACGTTGAACGCCAAAGGGACTCTCTCGCTCCTGCCTTGCTTTGAAGAAGCTGCAGAAACTCGACAAAAGTGCCAGAGCCGGGGCTCGCGGAGCAGCTGGTTTTTTACAAAAGTAATCGAGGAGCCAGAAGCAAATTATTTTGGGGTGAATGTGCGATTTGGTTGCATCCTCCGGGTTTGATTTTACCCGCGAGAAGCTGCACATTTACCCCCCTCGCCCCATTCCTGGCGAATTAACGGCGCCGGCTGTGAAAATACCCACTATCTGCTGTTGAAGTAACTTTGACGTTCTCGGCTCTTCTTTTAAAAGCAGAAGAGAATTTTGCTCGTCCTGGGTGATGGGTGGGGGCGGAGGGTGCTGGGACAGATTAAGGGCTCAGGGCTGGGGTGTGTGTTTGGCCGGTGAGATAACCGGCCTCGGGGCCGCCCGTGTCGCCCCCAGATTTGCTCTGAGTAGCTTTGGATGTGGATCTCGGGACTGAGTGGGGGAGAATTTTGTCCTTCTGTAAAAAACATTCTGGGTTTCTCAGCTCGCTGTTTCACGAGGTGTCTCGAGGGCTGGCGGGAGGAGAGCCGGGCTTTAGGAAAACGCTCACGCGAGAGTTTCGTGCCGCTTCTGCGAAGTGTCCCCGCGGTTGAGCAGAGTGAGTTTCCAGCTGCTGCAGAATGTGTGAGGTCAAAGGGAAACCACCTCGAAACCCTCCTGTGCCGGCAGCGATCTCCCGCGGAGCGCAGGCAGATGTGGCTGCCCCGGGGGGGGTTGGCGGGTGTGGCTGCCACGAGGTGGTTTGCTGGGCGTATGGATTTTGTGCGTACGCGTGGCAATCTGGGTAAATATAAATCCGTGCGGTGGAGCGTACCCTTAAAATAGGTCGAAGCTGCCGTTCCTTCTGTCTCCTTTTCCTGGGAGCCATCTTAATTATCAAATATTGATGCGGTAGTAGAGCTCACATGCTGAGATTTATGTTGGATCTTGAAGGCAGAGGGAGGGGAAACACTTTCCCCTTTGAAAAATGAATGGCTGGGGGGGAGAAAAATGCCGCGGATTGCTGTGGAGTCGTCTGCGGAGCACACTTAATGCTTGATTAAATATTTAATTTAGCAGCAGCATCACACTCTACTGTGAGCCATGAAATCTCGTTATGGAATTATAATCTCTTAAAAAAGAATAAGCATGCTACCTAGTGACCCGGCTTGTTGCTATGTTTAGTGCTGGATCACTAATTCTAAAGAAACGAGTCTCAGGTGCTTTAAATTGAATATAAACAGTTGGTAGCAAGTCTGTTTCGAGCCTGAATCAATAGAATTTGGGTCAGATTCCTAGAACAAGATTATTGCGGGCTCCACTTTGGAAAGGCCGCAAGCCGCCAGCTCGGATCTCTGTTCTGTCACAGGCGTAGCTGGCTTTTTAGCTGTTCTTCACATCTGTCTCCCTCTGTTCCCTTCTCTTCCCAGGGCACATCGTTTGGCGAATTAGAATCCTTGTGGCTTCTTGCTCTTCCCAGTCTCCCGTGCAGTAACCCGCGTGCTGTGCTCACAGCGCGTTGCAAGACGCCTGAAAGCGACTGCGGGGAAATCGAATGTTGTCTTAGCGTGGGCTACCCAAGTGACCAATATTTTTTCTCCTTCCAAACAGCACATCGCGATTCCAAGGCCTGATCGACCTACAGAAGTGCGGACTTTCACGTTTTACCTTTCAAATATCGGCAAGGACAGCCCTCAAGGGAGTTTTGACTGCATCCAGCAGTATGTCTCGAGGTGAGTGGTGCAGCAAAACAAAATCTGGCCTTTTTTTAGATATATTCTTCTGTAGAATCATTTCCCTAACAAACTTGAAGAAAACTTAATACATGTTCTTCCTTTTTAGAGTCTTTCTAACCCATTTGCACGTGTCTATTTGGGTAAAGAGGCACTGACGGAAGAATCTATTTGCCTCTCGGCTTCTTTCTGTCTCTTCTTATTGCTGAGATAATGCAACCTCAGTTATTCCCCAGCTGTGCCTCTTGGCAGTGTTGGGAGTATCTTTTTCCCTTGCGTTTCTTTTGCAGCAATGGCAACATCCATTTGGATTGCCTTGGAAGCATACAGGATAAAATCACGGTGTGTGCTACTGACGATTCCTACCAGAAGGCGAGGCAAAGCATGGCACAGGCCGAGGAGGAGACTCGCAGCCGGAGCGCCATAGTCATTAAACCTGGGGGGAGATACGTAGGTAAGCAGCAGCCCGGTTTGGGGGGCTCTTGGCTGTCTTCCAAAGTCAAATGCTGACGTTTGTTTGCTTGACCGTGAACCTGGTAGCTCCTTACGGGTGTCTGGTTGACTAGGGTGCTGCTCTCCTTGCGTTGGGACTTCCTCACGGCTTCCATCTCTGCTCTGGAACACGTGTGGTGGTGTTTGCGTGGCCCCTGAGGGCTGCTTGCCCGCGGGCACCTCGCTCTCTGGCGTTAGTTGTCACACGGTGATGCCGAGAGCGCGCTGCTGATCCGTCAGAAGTGCCCGCGCTCCTGGCGAAGTCGGCTAAAACGTCCCGGCCCTGTTGTCACACAGCTGGTGTGTGCCTGGCCTTGAGGCCTCGAGGATGCGGGTAGAGCGCTTGTCTCAATAAACAAGAGACCCAAGCAGCCTTAAACCATCTTATTGTGACAACGAAAGGAGAATCTTAGGGGAAAAGATCCAAGCAGTGGCAAACATCAGTGGGCTCCAGAAGGAGCCTGCAGAGACCTGGCTTTGGGCTCAGATCTCTGCTTAACCTCAGTCTCGTCACAAACTCAGGGCACAAATATTAACCAGAAAGCAGGTTTGGGCTTGGATTTGTTTGGGTTTTTTAAATTATTTTTTTTGAGCCAGCTGTTTTTTCTGCAGCCCATGTGGTCTGTAGCCAGTTTCTTCTCGGAGGATGTCTGTGATGAGAATGGTGAGTCGCAAAATGTAGAACTGCCCCTGACTCATTGTTTTATCAGCCAAATGCTCAAAGCTGAGAAATAAGATAGTAATCAGGAAGGAAATGCATCGATTTCCTGTAGACTAGAAGATTATTTTGTTTAGCTTCTACTTGAGAACATTACAGTAAGTGGCTGAAATTGTTTGGGCTCGTGAGGGAGACGATTCTCAAAGCAAATTGCTTCCCGGAAAGATAGGGCAAAACTTTTTGATTTAAAAATACTCTCACTGAAACATTTACAGCTCCGAAATGGAGCTACAGCTACGTAAAAAGCAGCGGAGTGGAGTGCGTGCTGCATCTATAGGATGTCAGCGTTTAAGAGGGGAGGAGAGCTCTGGTCCAGGAGGGAAGAACCTGGGCAAGGACAGTTCTCCGGTGGGATACGCACGTCTTTGTTGTGCCAGCACCATCAGCTGATTCACTCACGGACTGGTCTGGAGGGAGCAGGCTGGCTCTCACATTTCCGTGAGAACACGGAGCTCAGCACTTAAACGTCAGTGGAGTCATTCCAGGCAGCTCAGATGTGGGAGAGTTTATATGAAATGTTGAAATCGGACACCAGCAGAACACTATAGATGTGCACCAACGCTTGAACAAATGTCTGTGGAAATAGATAGCCGACGGGTCTGCAGGGGGCTGTGTCTGCTGAGATAGACACTAAGTAGGGGTGTGTGTACATCCATGTATACCCACATGGGTAAATATTTTGAAAGACTTCATGTTCTGGCTTAACTTAGGTGTTTTTTTTTCTTTTCCTATCATTGCACATTTTGGCTCCAGCCTTAAGTGGAAACGTCCCAACGTGCTTTTTGCTGTTCATGACCTGGCGAGAGTTAAGGGAGTTCTGGAAAGGGGACGCATCTTCGCTGGTCCCATTTCTGGAATTGAAGCCCAGTTGACCTCTGAATTTCAGGTTAACGTGTGAATTGCTGTTTTTCTCCCTCTCGCCTTAGCTCAGCCCTGCCTACCATGGGCTGTACTTACTTGCATCATCGTGGTGCGTAATAAAAAGCCAGGAAATGGGGACTCAGTTACGCAATCTGCATTTCAGTAAAACAAACACTGCAGACAATCGCCAATATCTTCAGATGACTCAGTTGAAAACACTGCTTCCTAGCAGTGGGGAATTGCTATGCTGAAATCAACCTCCAGACTTCTTGCAGTAAATGCTGGATGTTGTTTGTCCTGGTGAAGGTCACTTTCTTGAACCGGAGGGGTTATCGATTGCATCTCCACGTTTTAAGACCTTGGAACCTTTGCAATGTGCTGGTTTTGCCTTTGGTAGCAGCAACCTGCCCTCATGAGCTGTTTCTGCATTCAAAATAGTAAAATTCTTTGATTCACACTCTAGTAGGCGATGTGGCACTTGTGTGAGGGCTCTGGTTAAAGGCGTTTTTCACGAGGAATGGGAAGAATGACTTCTTGTATAATGCTGTCAGAAAGCAAGAGCCACGTTTGGGTTGGAGATGAGGAAGCTGCCTGCGAGGGCTTGAGATGAGCTTTTGCAACAGCTTCATGTTCTCACGTCAACGTTATCAGAGGGCAAAGCAGTTATTACTACAGCGTAGAGGGGTTATTCTACAGCCAGCACGCTAATGAATCGGCGAATGTCTCGGCGTTAGACCCCATTCATGTGCCGGGGCTCGGCGGGGGGAAGGGAGTTAGACCCAGTCCCATAAAGTTCCTATTGTTCTGAAAGCAGAAACATCTGCTGGAGGAGCGTTTTTGCTGAGATCAGCAGCAGGGAGCCGCTCGTTGACCAGTTCTGGTCTTTCCACTCCATATTTTGACTCTTCTACATAATAATGCAGAAGTTTCTTCTCATGGAAGAGGGGGGTGGGGGGGAATGGTTAGATTAACCATGGGGATACGTGCACTTGGGATAAATGAAAAGCTGGCAAACAAAGAGGGCTTTATGTAAGCTTGTGGCCAATAATACTCAGATTTCCAGAGCTCAGTGTTGCTGTTTACTTGTTACGAGGTTGTCGTGAATCATAAAGCTCACGGGATGCTCGTTCCGGCGGCGGATGGGGTGTGCTGGTGGTGTTTGTCCTTCGTTGTCCCCTTGGAGCACTCGAGGTGGCGTCATGAACTCCACGTGCGCGTTGACAGACCACTGGCCTTTGCAAGGTGACTGCTGCAGTTCACTGTTCTCGTCTCATTTTAGGCAAAAAGGTTCAGGTGCGTAAACCTGCACCAGGAGCTTCCGATGCTGTTCCCTCCAGGAAGCGCCCAACGCCAGTCAACCTTGCCAGTGCAATAAAGAGAGGCAATAGTGCGATTTCTCAGAGACCCTTCAAAGATAGGGTTGTGCACTTACTGGCACTAAAGCCTTATAAGAAACCTGAACTTATTCTCAGATTGCAGAAGGATGGACTTTCTCAGCAGGACAAGGATTTGCTGGACAACCTTCTGCAGCAGGTTTGTACCCTGATGAAGGCGACGACTTAGGTAAAGGGCAGCGTCTTCTCGGCGCGGTCGTACCCTGTGTGTCAGCCTGAGCGTAACGCGTGTATCTCGGCGCTGCAGCTGAGCATTTCCCTGAAGGCCGCGTCCCGCAGAAGTTGTGCTCTTCTGCCCGAGATAGCAGAAGCCTCTCGTGCGCACGTCTCCGTTCAGGTGTAAACATGAAGCTGTATGATTTTTGGTTCACCCCAGCAGTCGCTTAGGAGGAAGCCTTTTACGTGGTCGTGGGTGGAATTACCTGACGTGTTATAACCTATAAATCTCTTTTTATTAACGTAGACATAAGGGAACGCTTATGTCCACGTATTGAAATCTGTATTGATACACTTAACGTTTCCCACGTGAAGGAAAACAATCTCCACTGAGCTTTACATCTTCTCCGGGCCGCTCAGACCCGTGCCTTCCCTGCTCAGAGGTGCAGCTGGTTAGGTGTGAAGATCATGCAGCTTCTTGCAAAGCGTATTACTCGTACGTCAAGTGTGAAAGCTGTCTCCAGGCTGAATCAGTTCTTAACACTTTGAGTCACGTTGAAGGTGCCATTTTAGGAATTGCAGTAAATACCATTGTTGCTCCCGCCGAGCAAAACGCAGCGTGGATGTTTATTTAAATGCTGCAGCTGCCCCCTTCTGTATTGGATATTTATTTTATTTGTTTTTTTCTTTAAAGCTGAAAAGGAGACAGCGAGGAGTTAGTTTGCCCGAGGGTACAGGGCAGGTCATATTGAGCTATTGCTGGCACAACTTGCTCCTTCCGTAGCTTTTAATCCTTGTAGCCCTTAATTTTCCAGCAGCGCTAGAATTCTTCGGAGCACCCTTTTGAATTCTTACAAATAGGCTTAATACTAGAAATGTCGTTTCTGATAATCACCTTTTATCGATGCTCTCGCAAACCCCCAGCAGGCAGAGCGGTGCGTTGGGCAGTGTCAGCCCGCTTGGGCTAAATGCTGATTATTTGGCTGTAAACGTATTGCTCGTAAGCTTAATCTCTTTTCAGCGCTACCAGGGCTTCCAAGCAGACACAGATAAGCTAAAAATTACAGGCTGCGTTAAAGCGACGTGTCTAAATACGTCTAGGTGTGGGTTTCATTGTGCTCTTGCATCTCTCGTAGGACTCCGTGTTCCTGCTGGCCTTTTTGCCTCATTTTGCAAGGTTTCTATTTTTGGGAGGCCTGGGGTGGAGCTTGCGGAGTCCCGCACCAGCAAAACAAGGAGGTAGCAGCTCCCAGCCGCTGCGCAGAGAAAATCAGAGTTGTTGTTCTTCTGCCTGGGCTCCAAGCCTTGCCGAGCAGCGGGTCTCCTCCTGCTGCAGAAAGAAGCAGTAACCGGAGAGATTATCAGAGAGTTTTTAGGTTGTTTTTTCTTAAAAAAGAACCTGGCTTTGCTTTTGTCTCTTGGGCATGTTTACTGGGATATCTAAATGTAAAACACAGCTCAAATTCTGCCTGTATTTTGGCTCAGGGTTTTGGAAAGCTGACAGAACTGAAAGGAAAAACAAAGTGTTCGTCATGTAAACTGATAACTGTGCTTTCTATTTTTCGCTTATCAGGAGAGCTTTGCTGTATTAGTTCTGCAGCTTTTTGCTTTTAAAAAAAGAAATAATCTATGAATTTAATACTAGGCTGTAGTCTCCCTAAAGCAAAAGCAGAGGAATTGACAGCATCTTCACTTCCTTCAAGGCTTTCCACTCCTTCACTTGCTTTTCTCAGGCTCTCTTAGTGGATAATAGAAATTCATAAGCACAGCCATCCTCCTGAATGCAGTGGATGGTGGAGAACTCTAATCCTTACACCGCTGCCCGGTGTCTCTGCTGGCTGGATAAAAGCATCTCCCCGTTTCGAGTGTAACGCAGTCGGCGAGCCGAGCGGCTGCAGCCGTCAGTCTGGGACGTGGTCGCTGGCTTTGCTCGTGGGCACGGTGCTCGGCACCTCTGCCTCCCTCTCCTGTCTGTGAAACAGAGTTAAAGCTTTTTCTTGCTAACCTTGCAGTGCTCTGCAAGCACCTCAGAAGGGTTCGTTAAGGTGGTACCTATGAAAGCTTTAATTGGGGTTTGTGCTGACATTCTGGTTTTCAGATGTGTCACCAGCAGCAAGAAGTTAAATTTTCAGTCAAGCTGTGGAAAGACTGGTTAAAGCAGGATAGCTCTTAACAAGTTGTTTCCATTCTAACCCAGTTCTGCGGGTTCCAGCAGCCTTTCCTCTCCGTGTAGGCACCGGGCAGGGTTTTGTGGGGAAACTCCACGCGATAGAATTGAAGAAAATGTCAAAAAGCTCCTCCTCCAAGTGTACCGCGCTAATTGAGGTGCAATGCTTTACTGTAAAGCCCTGGGTTATAAGCTGATAATCACAGGTTTGGTTCTTGCACTGGAGTGGACAAGTTCTCCTCTGTGAAACCCAGCAGATGATCCCAACGCGGTGACCCCCTGCGATCCGCAGGCTCCCGACTGCGTTCTTCCTGCCAGGTGTTCTCTTCACGGCTCCTTGAGAAAGTCGCTTAATCGCCCGTTTTGCTGGCGCGTTAGTGAGAAAATTATCTTCTGGCAATTGTTAACTAAGCTATCGCCACGAGAGTTCGGCTATCAGCTAATAAGCTGCACCGGTTTAGCTATCAGACAGGTGTGTTCCCATTAGAGTTTAGTTCCAGGTATTTCCATGAACCAGAGTTGTACCATTCCAAACTGTCCGAGCTGAATAATTTGTTTAGACAGGACTTGTTTCCCAGTAAACTGGGTAAGCTGTGGAAATTCATATGAAACTATTGCAATGACAAGGCAAAAGAAAAGGCAGAGTTTGATTAAATCGTCTAAATAATTAGGAAATGAAGTATAAAGTTTCTCCTTGTTCCCTGACACCAACTAGCACTTAGACGGTTGAGATTTTTTTGCCAACATTTTAGGTCTCTTTTGTTAGAACAAGTAAGAAAATTAAACCCTAACAGGTTGCTTTTTTCTATAAATTACTTTTGTTTCAGGTGGCAAATTTGAGTGCCAAGGACAGCACTTTCACACTGAAAGACTGTGTATACAAAGAAGTGCAGAAGGACTGGCCTGGCTACTCTGAAGGAGATCAGCAGTTGCTGAAGAGGATACTTGTTCGGTAATTATCCCCTCTTCTCTGTAATATCATCTGGAGCTTGACAGTGCTGGGCCAGGTCAGTTGCTATAATTCAGGGTAACCAAAGCCAGTAGAACTACGGTAAGTTGAGTGTTTGACTTCCTTTAACGTAAAGTAAATCTATTTATCATCCAGGCAGCTGTAGAAGTCGACTGACCTTGAATATCAAAGTGGATGTGCTCTTCAGAGTGTCCCAGGTTGCCTTTAAACCTTTATCCCAAAAGCTGGGGAAAAAACCTGGGTGGGGAACGAAAGCTGTTAAGAGTTAAAAGTTAATGGTGCCTTCAAATCCAGGGAGATGAATGGATTAAGGCAAGTGTGTCCAGCTAAACCCACCTTTCCTTTTTCCATATCTTCTTGGCCACGGCTTCCTGTATTTGCTGAAGGCAAGGAGCGGGCCGTTACCAGGCAGCCACGTCCGTGCTCCGTTCCTGGGGACGTCCCTGTTCCTCCCCAGCTGTTTGCTCCGGAGACTTTGCTGCTTCGTTTCTGTACTATTACTTGGATGCTCATTTACAGCGAGTTTTCTTGTGTCACCAAATCCTGTTAGCGCCACAGTCGCCCCGCAAGATTTAAGATTTGATTAAGGCACGCATGAAAAAACCAAACTGCAAAGTGATTCTGTAGAGATGAGTCCCTTAAAACACGTGCCGGTTGTGCTGCTGCCCTGCAGCGCGATCCTCACTGCCCCAGGGATACCTGTTGTCATGTTCCTTCCTGAAAATAGCCCTTAACGGTTGAGATGAAAGCTTTGTCCCTCTGGGTTGCTAAAGACTTTTTTTCCTCCAGATATATTTTTCCTTAGGCAAAGCCTCCAAGCTTGGAAGCTCTTGACTGGCAGGCAGGAGGGAAA